GTTCCCCAAATTCGTGAGTACATTTTTCGACAATCTCGGAAAAAGCGTTATTAAACAAAGAGGAGGACTTCCGACAAACAAGAAAGACTTTATGGACCTAATTTTAGAAATGAGACAGCAGAAAGTAATCGAAGGCTCAAAGAGACACGACAATGAACATTTAAAGCCTCTCGAACTGACTGACAGCATTATTGCGGCTCAAGCGTTTGTATTCTACGCGGCTGGCTACGAAACCAGTGCCTCTACCATGACGTACATGTTCTACGAACTGGCGAAGCAGCCTGCAATACAAGACAAGCTTATTGCAGAAATTGACGAAGTTCTCAAACGTTATAATGGACAAATAACCTACGAGTGCTTGAGCGAGATGACGTACCTGAGTCAAGTATTTGATGAGACATTGAGAAAGTACCCGGTCGCAGATCCTATGCAACGTAACGCTAAAGTTGACTACAAGATTCCTGGTACTGATATTACCATTAAACAAGGACAAACCATAATTATATCCTCCTGGGGTATCCAGCATGACCCTCAGTACTACCCCAACCCGGATAAATTTGACCCGGAACATTTTAGCCCTGAAAATGAGAAGAATCGACATTCGTGCGCTTATCTACCATTCGGAGCTGGTCCTAGGAATTGCATAGGTAAGAGATTGTTTATTTTTAAACAAAATTCACAGTTTGAAATAATGTTGTGGAATACTCTATCCTCAGCAGTATTTCTATACAGTTATGGTTTAGTCCTATTAGAAAATAACGTAGATAAACGTTTCTTAAAAGCCGACTAACCACCTCCGGTTCCTCTGATGTTGGTGTTTACGGGCATCGGATCAATCTATGATATACTCATATTATAAAGAGGAAAGATTTACATTTTTGTATGTATTATAATAACAAAACTACTTGGCCGATTTTAAAAATTCTTTCACCATTATAAAGCTACGTTATTGCTGGGTAATAGACTGTATAGTCAAGTGTTTAAATTTCACATAGACATAGTCAGGAGCAACAGTTAGTTAATTATATTTGGCGATCGACTGCTCATTGTCAATCATACTTCATACTAACATTATAAATGCGAAAGTTTAGATGGATGTATGTTTGTTAGAGTTTGTAGCATAAACGACTAGGATTTTGCTGGAATTTGATATTCATGCAGAGGATAGTCTGGAAGAACACACAGGCTACTCACTTTTGTTTTTTATTTTATTTCCACGCGGAAAGAGTCGCGGACAAAAGCTAGTTATAAATAAAACACTTAAATATGAAGAGAACTTGAGTAAATACTTTATTCCTTGTTGTAAAACTTTTTGCTGATGTTTCAGGTATGCGTTTCGCCAAATTACAGTCTGAGGTGTGCATAGTCAAGTTTTTATCTAAATTCCGGGTGGAATCTTCCAAGAAAACTCAAAAGGATCTTCAGTTCGACCCTATGCGCTTGTTTGCCTTTCCCGTTGGAGGAATTTACTTGAATCTAATACGGAGACATGTTTGATCGTGTTGTTTATCAAAGATAAGTTGATATTGATTGTGATATAATTATCAACACATGTTAAGAATTTGTAACTATATTTATATTTACTTTTGTTTTGTTCAATTACAAATTAAATAAATATACAACGTTCACTATAAAGAATATTTTTAAGACCTTTGATGAGGTGTTATATGGTTGGTATTTTTCGAAATATCATTTGGGGCAGGTACAATCGAAGAAACTAACGTCATTCACACTATAACTTCAATCGGTTGTACGTTTCGAATTTAGATTACGACGCGGAAACACAAGGCGCGTTTTTTAATATTAACCTGTTGTTAGGACAAGTTGTTGCTACGTAATTGTTTTAACCTATCTAATTTTTAGAAATAAGGTCCGTTTTCTGTAAGTGTAAATGGAATACCGCAGATTTCCGCGATTGTACAGTTCCAAAATTTTCGTTCTCATTGGCAAAAAAAAACGGTGTCGGGTTTGATATGTAATTCCTAAATTTATTTGCAAGTTAACATTTGTATGATAATAGTAACTAAATGCAATCAATTATTTTATATTCAATAAATTATTATATAATTATACTTTGATGTTATTTTGGTGGTGTTATTTGGTCTTTCATTTATCCGACTACAAGACTATCACCTATTTCGATCCCTTAGTTTAAAAGAATTATATCATTTCTTAATTCTCACTATACTCTACTGTGAGGCGCAATGTCTACTTTAAATTAGTGTTTTTTTATAATACTATAATCTATACTATTATAATAAATCGTAAACACACACTTCTTTGTTTCCTAAGATGTCAGCAATTACAGCATATTTTTGAATTACCCTTTTTTCAATAAAAACCCCTACACTTACGTCACGCTTTAGGCTATATATTTCACGTCATTAAACTTAGGGGGTAAATGTTTTGCATAAAAACCCTACTGTGGGAAAGAGACCATAAGTTGCTGCCAACATTAAGGAAACAAGGTTGCCATGGTTTGTCATAATGTCATGTCATTTTGACATTCGCAATTGATAATTTGACACACGTAAACAACAAAATATTTTTTTTATAATTTTATGCCGATAAAGTCTAGGAACAGCTAGTATAAAGTTAAAGAGGCAAACGAGCAGCAGATGACTCTAGGTAGAGTGATCTCTAATAATTAACTATACTTATACAAGTTTATAAAACGTTTTTTTTTTTTCATCATGAGAAATAAAAATTTTATTTCTCAGAGCGCCATCTAGCGACAATTGCTATAAGCATGTTATGAATTTTATCCGTTCGTGTTTGTTATTGCAACGTTAATTATTAGAGGGCGCACACCAAAATAAATAGCATTAAATTAACTCATAAACTCAATTAAACCATATTGAACGAAAAAAGAAAGAAGTTGCATAGAAAAAGAACATCTTATCCGACTAACAAGTTCATGTTTTTCGTTGTTCGTCAAACCCTAACGTCGAATGTTTAGATGGATGGATAGATGCTCATTACTATTTATTCCCAGGAAGGTTCAACGGATTGATGAAATTTGGTATAGATGTAGACCATAGACCAGAAGAATATAGGCTATTAATCCAGATTGATAATTTATGCCCTGGGGTTGTCGATATAAAAAAAGTTTTTTTTGTTAGTTCATTTTTGTTTGCTTTGTTGTTGTATATCTTCTCCGTGTATATCAGGTTGCAGATGTATACCGATACAGGTTCAATAAAATGAAATTGAATAGTTAAGAAAAACCTCGAAAACAATATTAACGCACAAACGTACGGAATTCTACTTCCGTTAGTTGATGTTTTATGCTTGACTAGCTGTTCCCGTTCGGCTTCATCTTCATCAAATTATGAATATTTTACTTTATTGTTTACATTTGTCAAATTATCAATAGCAAATGTCAAAATGACATTACATGACAAACCTTGGCAATCTTGCTTTCTTGATGTTGGCATCAACTTATGGTCTCTTTCCCACATTAGGGTTATTATCCAAAATATCTACACCCTATGTTCAATGGCGTGAAAATACATAGCCTAAAGCGTGACGTAAGTGATTTTTTTTATTAAATAAAGGATATTCAAAAATATGCTGTATTTGCTGACATCTTAGGCAACAAAGAAGTGTGTGTTTACTCTTTATTATAATAGTATAGATAGTTTAAACTGCGATAATATCTCAAATAATTCGCCTTGTATCCAATTGAAATTGATTATTTTATCATTAGTTTCATTGCTAACGAAGATAAAAGTAAGTTCCTTTAGTTGATAAAAACATGTGATAATTCCTAAAAACTACGAATTTATCCAGGATATAAGATAAGTTGTAATTAACTAGCTTTTCTCGCGTGGATTCATCTGCATGAAATGATTAAAGCTTTATTTTATTGTTTACATTTATAAAATTCAATTGCAAATGTCAAAGTTCCAATACATAAATTACAACGAAGGCCTTTGTCATTGGCCAACGACAACCGTTAGACCGTTGCCATGGTAATCGTGTTTCTTTCCTGCTATTAACTTGTAGTTTTCGGTCCTTTCCCTCAAGACATTTTGTCCAATTTATTCACCCGCTAAATAGCGTGAAAACATAGAATTTTTCGTAAGTATAGCCCTATGTTAATTTTTTTTTAAATATGCTGTGATTGCTGACATCCTATAGTAATAAAGAAATGTGTGTTTATGCTTTCTTATGTGAGTATAGATAGAAAGATATATAGATATGTAGTATAGATAGGTAGACATATGATAAAACTAAAAATCTATTGTTTTCAGTACATGCATGTAATTGTTTTATCTTGAAAATAGGTCGATTTGGGTTTTTTTTAATCCTATCATAAACTAATTAAAACCACGATAAAAATTTAAAATTGATAACTATATATTATATAAATTTAATATCGTAATTTACCAAAAAGATATCTAAAAACATAGAGAATCAACATAAAAATTGATTCTTCGTTATTCAACAAACTTATTTGCTGTTTATCAATATTTACCGTGTATTTGAGTAAATTTTGTATTTCAACAAGTGAACGATAATGAATACTTAAAGTAAAAAAAGATTAGATAATTTTTTTCGGACTTCAACCGTAATTAGTCTTATCTGCAAATACAGTAGTTCGGACATTTACGGTAACATCTCAAACATTTCGGCGACGCTAACTTACAATGAACAGAAAAAAAAATGCGAAAACACTTGATGTGCAAAAACCAGTTAAGCTATAGAGGAAGCTAACCTGTCGACCTTCAAATCTATTTTTATTAATAAGCGGTTTGACGTGAATTGCATTATGTTGTCATGTAAGGCATGTCCCAAACTAACTATAATGGCTAGTTTCGTAGTCGACAAGGATGTTGTGTTTATTATACGAATAAATAATTTCGCTTTATAACACGATAATAATGTGATTTACGTAAAATGCCGTTCAATGACCTCATGTCACATATACGGTGAAAAAAAATATACATATACCATGGGTGTGCCTATTTGCCGAATTAATAAAGCCGTGTTAAAATTAACATGAACACACGTTATAAAGCCTTTTATCCTTTCCTATTCTGTCTTTGATTGTGAATAGTTTTTTTTTATTTACAACTAGCTGTATCCGTGCAGCTTCATCCGCATGAAATTATAAAAACTTTATTTTATTGTTTACATTTGTTAAATTCTCAATTGCAAATGTCAAAATACAAATTACTTTACTATGGCATTTTTTTTTCCTTGATGTTGGCAGCAACTTATGGTCTCTTTCCCACATTGGGATTTTTATCCAAAATGTTTTCCCTTAAGTTTAATGGCGTGTAAATATATAGTCTAAAGCATGACGTAAGTGTGGGTCTTTTTATTAAAAAAATAATTATTCAAAAATATCCTGTAATTGCTGACATCTTAGGCAACAAAGAAATGTGTGTTTACGCTTTATTATATCAGTATAGATAGATAAACTAGCATTCTATATTTCATTTTAATCGTCTACTATTATCAAAACATAATCGTATAATCGTTAGTTAAGTTACACCTAAGTACAAAACTTGTTGGTGAAATAAAATACGATTTGATATGTCCATTTCATAACACAATATTTGCCTTTACTTATGCTAGGTACTTACATATCGAAATCACACGTTATATCAGATATCATTATTATCATGAAGCATTTTATTATTATCAAGGTATTTGAGTACATATTTTGATATTCAGACTTTGACATTAATTACTTATCAAAATCAGTTTACTACTTACATAAACTAAATCGTACTTAGGTATTTTAAAAGCGCAAATTTTGTTGTTTGTCTGAAGGTCATGTCTCAACGAATTTTGTTGTTTGACATTGATGCAGAAGTCTTTTTTTACTCCGCGCATTCATAATTACGGGCAAGAACTATTACGCAATTATTTATGTTTGCAATGTTTCAAATGTCTGTAAATTTCCGTATACAGGTGTCCTAACAGACGTATACTTCTATAAAGGGGTCAAAAATTAAAGGTGATTCGAAAAATGTAAACTTTATGCATATTATACATTTATGCCTTGTATTGGACAGAAAGTGAAAATGTAAACAGAATTAACTATGTTCCAATACACTTTTACGTCTTCATATATCTCGATTCATGCAACATGAATCGAGATATATGAAGCATGCATGTTACACATGCATGTTACGATGCATGTTACACAACATATAATTTATTTATTATTAAAAGCTGCATTTTATTATAACAAAAAGTAGAGTTAGAAACACCAGCCAGAGCCACGAGTAAACAGAAGATAGGTATAGTGGAATCATTTCCGTTCTTTGTTTTTTTCCCATCCTTTCCTAATAGGATGGGAAAAAAATTGATTTCATGCGGGATAGGAAAGGTAATATTTTTCGGCAACGCATTAAAATTACTGGATAAAATACAAAGTTTTAATTTTTCACAATTTTTTTATCGATAAAAAAACAGTCTTACAATTGTAACCGCTACATGCTAACTTATTTCTAATTTATGTATTTACAGTACTTATATAATAGCTAAAACCCGAAATTTTCCATAACTATGGCTGTATATTTTGTAGTTGAGAGTTTGTTAGAATCCGTCACGTGTAACCTAAATGTTAGTCATGAGGTAATATTTAATTATTAAACTTATTCTACCATAATATTTTCATTTTAACAAAAAGATTTCTCTTTCAATATCTAAAATGAAAGTAGCATAGTACATTTCGAATTCGCATATAAAAATTACATTCTATGACCTTTACATAATAACAGAAGATTTCGCTAACCAATTATGAAATAATAACTTATGAACATCAAATGCATTATGTTTCGTGACAGATAAATGTGCTGGCAATTTATCTACATATGACATTCAAAGGGATTCCTCCCTTGGGGAAGAGAACTAGTCGCATAGGATCGAAGTCCAACACGGCCGGTGTGTTTCTCGAAGGCTCCACGCGGTACTTGGACAGGAACTTGGCTACACACACTCGGGATTGTACTTTGGCGAACCGCATACCTGGAATAAATGTATAATATAGTAAACAAGATCATTATTAGTTTATATTTAGGTTCATCGGATGTGGAGTTTACAAATGCGAAATAACTTTGACGTTAAAGATTTTTAGAGTTATCCCTTCTTTCAACTATAGGTCAATTGTGCGAAAAATATGTGCAATGATCTGCCTTAAGAAGAGGCCTGAACACAAATATAACCCACGTCTTATAATCATAATTGTTATAAGATAGCTGACCCTAAAGAAATTTTAGGCTAGTAACAATATTGTTTGATATGTACTTTTGCTTAAAATTGTTTTAACGTCACCATCATCAGACTTTATCATGCCTTACTTATTGCTAGACAAGCATATCCCAATGCCTTCGATATCAAACCTAAGGACCATATTATTAATTAATAATAATATTATTGAATTTTACTTACCGATACAGTTTCTAGGTCCAGTTCCAAATGGCATATAAGCACAAGAATGTCTGTCTTTCTCATTTTCAGGACTGAACCGGTCAGGATCAAACTTCTCTGGATTGGGGTAGTATTGAGGATCACGATGAATACCCAAAGGATTTACAAGTATAGTTTGTCCTTTCTTAATAGTTACATTAGTATCTGGGATTTTATAGTCCATTTGTGCGTTACGTTGCAAAGGATCTATAATTGGATATTTCCGTAATGTTTCATCAAACACTTGCTGCAAATAAGTCA